ATATATTGATCTATAGCTTTATCACTAAAAGCAATACTTCAGGAGACCTCCTTAATCATGCATCCTTATGCATAGGTATCTTTATTTCTGTAGAATAGATTCCCTAAGGTGGAATTGCTGAGTCAAAATGTATATAGCACTTTTGTCACTTCTCCTGGAAAGAAGAAGAAATGCTTGGAATTGGTAAAGCATCACTGAAATTCAATTAATAGAAAAACTAAAAGCCCACTCCATGGTTTACCTGCGCTCATAATCACAGATACTAGCCAGATTACTTTTCCATGTTTGGTGAGATTATGTTTATATTACGCAACAAAACCATTGCAGTCATGGCCAGCTTTGCTTGAAAGGTTGTCATAATCTGTCACAAGTATCTAAAGCCAAATTTCAGAATGAAAATGACAGCAGTATAGCCCCCCGAAAGTGTCTTCTAAAAATACAGCTATACTGTTAGATACCTGGAGCCCTGGTTGCATAGTGGTTAAGAACTCAGCTGCTAACCAAAAGGTCAGCAGATAAAATTCACCAGCCACTCCTTGGAAACCCTGTGGGGCAGTTCTACTCTGTCCTATAGGGTCGCTGTGAGTCAGAACCGACTCGATGGCGCCTAACAAAAACATTAGATATCTAACCACTCAACAGTAACTAACAACAACATCCAAGCAAAAATTTTCCATGATGTCAGATATGAGCTTGATCTTTCTGTTTTATGAAAATATGGTATACAATAATTAAAAGGTTATCCAAGTCTACCATATTTTTAAACCACTGTGAATTCTATCTGAAAAAGCAAAAATTTCACCCATTTGTAACATTGTTCAGTCACCCAAAAAATAAAATAAAATAAAATAAACCAGTATCTATCTCTCAGGTTGAGTCATTCTTCCAGCCCTATCACCTTCCTAATACCATCACAATGGCTCGTCAGTGCATAAGATACACACTGATGAAAAGTGCTGTGTACCAGTTTCCAAAGAGCACCTTGTAGAAAGTCCATTAGAATAAGGTGTCCCTCAATAGTGATGAAGTATTTTCTTTTGTCTGCATATTTTTATTCTGATTTAGTATCTTTAACCATTCAGGAGAGAAGGAATACTTGTAATACTACATAAAATAGTGAGTGCCAAGGTCATTACTATAGATAAGTTCTAGTGTGCCCCATAAAGTATACATTCTAATTCATTTGATAAATATATATTGAGAGTCTCCTGTCTGCCAGGAATAGTCCTAGGCATAAGGGATAGAGAGATGGACAAGCTGGTCACCTTCACCAAGGAGATAAGAGTCCAGTAGGTGGAGACTAACCAGTAGCCACATTTACCGCATAGTGTGAGAGGAGCCAGGACAGAGACATGCGCAAGTTGCCCTGGAAACCCAGACACGGGTCATCTACATTACTTAAAATTGTTGCAAACACTGCCAGTCACCACAGGTGGTCAAGGAAACAGAGCTGAATATACAAATTGCTAAACAGTACTGAAAATTCAACGATTAAGTCAAATGGGGATAGATTGGCCAATGATCTAATAAAACAAAACAAACAAAGAAACCCAAAGCTGTTGCCATCGAGTCGATTCTGACTCATGGTGACCCCATGTGTTACAGGGTAGAACTGTTCCGTAGGATTTTTGTGGCTATAATCTTTACGGATGCAGATTCCACGGTGCTGAACCACCAACCTTTAGGTTAGTAAGTCAAGCACAGACTGTTTGCGCCACCCAGGGACCCTAATGATCTAACAGCAAGTTGAAAATCTGTAAAGTTATATTTAAGCTCTTCATTTTGAAAAACCAAAAGACAGACTCATATATAGTTACAGTGGAACTCCATTATAATATTCTTGTTGGAGACAGGAACAACACACACTTTCTAACTTGCTAAATCAATTTATCAAATAAAATTCTTCTTTGACTCCCAGTGTATCCACATCCATGTAACAACAAGTCATTGCATAATGGGGTTTGACTATATAAACAAAAGTTATTGACAACATAACTCTTACCTTTTGATTTAGTTTTCATTTCTGTCACACAGCAATTACAGTTTAATTCAGATTCAAAAATGAGCTGTAAAATACAAAAATCCCAGGGAATATATATATATATATTTTAATTAATGATGTGTTAGCTATAAGACCATCTGCATAATCCACTTAAGGAAACAGTAAAAGACGTGGACGTAAAGAAGCACTTCATAAAACATTTCCATCAATATTTACTTTTTATCAAAAAACATAACAGTCTATAAAGGCAAAATTTGAACACGGAGCTTTTTTTTAAAAAAAAAATCTGGTTTTCTCAGCCTTTTTTCTTCCTTTGTTCCTCCCTTCTGACCTTCCTTCCTTCCTTTGTCTTCAGTTCTTTCCATAGTATTGACCAATAATGATTGCAAGCTTATCATGGTACTGCCTACATAGATTCCAAAAGCAGACTTAACAATAAGTCACAACCATCTCATTAAAGGGTTTTATAAAATAGTGTGGTATCAGATTGCAAATATACATGGTTGAGTTTAGAAAAGTTAAACACTTCTGACTCAACATTAATAACTTCATCATTAGGAAGAATGAATGAGTGAATGTAAGCCTGGCTATCAACATGTAGGGGCCAAACCTGTTTTTCTCTGCCTTTGAAGATAAGTTCAAACTTCTAAGTGATCATGGTAAATTGAACATGTGATCAGACAGAAGCTCATTAAAATCAATGAGAACAATTACATAATAATTTAGAGGTGGAATTATACATTGTACAAATAAGTTATTGCAAATGGTTTCTTATGTGAAAGAACGGCAGAAAAATATCATTCAGTCTTGGAATCACAGTGAATACAAAATGAGTGCTATAGCAGTGTACAATAGTCACTTTTAAAAGCAAGCATGGCAGACTTTAGGAACCCTAAGGTAATTCTTGTTTGACCCTCATGCATATTACTAAAGTACACTACTCAGTTGGGATACATTAACGGGACATGATCTTGTATACACTGCAGAAAGAAATTAAGAAGATATAAATCAAAATCTCAGCTGGTTTCTTTGCAGAAATCGACAAACAGAATCTAAAATTCATATGGAAATTCAAGGGACCCAAAATACTTAAAACAATCTTGAAAAAGAACAAAGTTGGAGGACTCACAGTTGCCAATTTCAAAACTTCCCACAAAGCTACAGTAATGGCATAAGAATAGTCATATAGATGAGTGAAATAGAATTGACAGTGTGGTAATGGCATACGAATAGACTTACAGATCAATGAAATAGAATTGAAAGTGCAGAAATAGGGCTTCACATTCACGATCAATTGATTTTCTATAAGGGTGCCAAGACAATTCAAAGGGGAAAGAATAGTCTTTTCAACAAATGGTTCTGGGACAAATGTATATCCCCACGCAAAGAATGGAGTTGGACCCTACCTCAGGCCATATACAAAAATTAACTCAAAATGGATCAAAGACCCAAATATAAGAGCTAAAACTATAAAAACCTTAGAAGACAACATAGGCTTATATCTTCATGATTTTGGATTAGGCAATGTTTTCTTAGATATGACACCAAAAGCGTAAGCAATAGAAGTAAAAATAGATAAATTGGACTTCATAAAAATTAAGAATGTTTGTGCTTCAAAGGACACAGTTAAGAGAGTGAAACAACCAACAGAATGGGAGAAAATATTTGCAAATCATATATCTAATAAGGGTCTTGTATCTAAAATATATAAAGACCTCTCAAAACTCAACAACAAAAGCAAATGCAATTTAATTTAAAAATACACAAAGGATCTGAGTAAATATTTCTCTAAAAAAGATGTACAAATGGCCAAAAAACACATGAAAAATGTGCAACATCATTAGCCATCAGGGAAATGCAAATCAATGTATCTTTGGTCTGTATTACTTGATGGGCACATTGTATATTTTACACTTTTGTACCATATTCCTATCCAACTCCTACAATAATTTATCTAGAAACCATATCTATGCCTGGTCATAAAGTATTCATATTTCTTCTGAACTTTTCTGGGAAGTGAATTTCTTTTTTAAGTAAGATATGCAAATAGTAGTCAAATAAGCCAAAGAAAAGAATATTCTCCTCTCTCTTCTTGAAACACCATAGTATGGCCAAAACCAAAAAACCAAACCCACTGCCTTCGAATCAATTCCCACTCATAGCGACCCCATCGAGTTTCCAAGGCTGTAAATCTCTACGGAAGTAGACTGTCACATCTTTCTCCCGTGGAGCCACTGGTGGTTTCGACCGCTGACTTTTTGGTTAGCGGTCTGTTGCTTTAACCACTGCATTACCAGCATTCCTCATAGTATGGCAAAGCTCACAAAATTTGAACAAAATTTCAAATTCCTGCTGCACCACCGTGAAAACTTCAATGGAGGTTAGTGGCAGGCTCTCATTATGAAAGTTCCCTTATATGCTCGTGTTGTTTTATTTACACAGTATTTTGAGGAGAAGGAGTGTACATGTAATCTACTCATTTCCTTTTCATGAGCTGTAACAGGAAACAATATGAGTTTCTTAATAAAAATAATAGTCTCTGTTTTTTTGAGTACTGATATAATGTTCCAAGCATTCCAGTGATAAATGCTCACAATAGCCCTATGAAGACTACTATTATCCTCATTTTGCTGATGAAATTTAGGCACAGAGGAGTTTAAAAAGTTAAGAAACTTGCCCCAAAACAAACGTCTAAAAAATGGCCAACTCATGTTTCAAATCTAGGTCTGACTCCAACACGCTTTATCCCTGGTTCCAAATGGTGTTCATTTAGCCTTTGATTTCATTTTTCTAGTGTCTTTTTTACTCTTCTGCTTTTACCCACAAGTTTTGGTCAAGTTGGTGCTACAAAATTAACAGGTGTTCTTTTAACTAGATCCTAACTCACTGGCTTTTTAACTGACTTGCTAATCAACCAGTATAGTCAGAGCCCTTTAAGTCCGCCTTCTTCCTTTTTTTAAGCATGAAGTCAATGAGCACTTACCGAACATCTTCCGTGTGCCAAACACTTCAACCTGCTGGAGAAATTGAAAACTGAGACTTTCCTTCTATGTACATCATTTGTCATCTGTGGAGAAACACATCTTGTATAGTATTGTCAAACCATGCTAGGATATCATTAGACGGTATACCAATTAGACCCTTATCACAGTAAAAAAATTTGAGTCCAGACTGGAGAAAAGTACACTTAGTACACAAAATGATAGCAGTAACTAGGATAATAATCTAAAGGTGTAAATTCTCCCCCATACCCACAATTAAAAGAGAAAAAACAAAAACAAAGAAACTATACCTTGACTGATACAACCCAAGAAAAAAATAATTGAAGTGATTTTTCAGAATCCATCAGGCAAAATGACTCTTAGTCATTGAATCATTCAGGGACTTCCACTCCCAAATAATTATTTTGGCCTGAATGACTCATATAATTAAATTATCTAGTTTGCTTTAGCAGTGCAGACTTAGAATGACAGGAACATTCCAATCTGAACATTTAGAAAGTGAAACCCAAAGGGAAAATTCACAGACCTGGGTCATCCCAGCCTGAACCAGGAATAATAACTCAATAAGTTCTCATATACAGGAGAGGCTAAGGACTGGCCATTCTCCACTCACACTGAGGACAGCACAGCAGAACCAGCTCAGTGCCTGGCACACAGGGCCAGCACTAACCAGACCTGACATCAGTTGATGGTAACAAGGTCCCTTTCCAACAGGTTCACTGCAGGAAAGTTTAACTCTCTTGGTTAGAGTCATCGCTTCCTTGAAATCTTTACAAACCAAGTATTTAAAAGAGTTTAGATTCAGGAATGATAATTCTTGGAAGCAGGCAAAGGACTTGAAACCAGGATTAAATGTTCCTCAAGCAGCACAGGACTAGTGCTTTCTTCAAGACCACAATTCCCACCCCACCCCCCACACCCCATCAATTGTACAATTCTCACCCCACCGTCCACACCCTGTCAATTGTACCACAACTCCCACCCCATCCCCCACACCCCATCAATTGTACAATTCTCACCCCACCGTCCACACCCCATCAATTGTACCACAACTCCCACCCCACCCCCACACCCCATCAATTGCCATTCTCAAGGTGGAGCAGGTTGTGCTCTCAGTCATGTATTGGGCACTAAGCTGCCATTTCCTTATGAAAATTTGCCACTAATATATAGTCACTCCCACTCACTCTATGCTCTGCGCTCTCAAGAAATGAATCTCACATTCCTAAACCAAGTGCCAGAAAGGGATTTTAGACCTAAATGGTGTTAAACCCAGAGAAAGGGAGAGAAAAAGGATAGCGCCTTCTTTAACAATCCTCAACGTTTTCCTCTCCAGCATTATCAGCTTTATCTTAAAATCACATCTCTTAATTATTCCGGATGAATGTAGAACCCTTGGTAAGCCCTTTCATGAATGTTCAGGCCTGTGGCATTAAGAAAGTCCAAGTGATGAGGTAAATGACTTGTTTGGGATGATGCAGTGACTTAGAGGTAAGCTCAATAGCTCAAATCTGCTTACTCTCAAGCCAAGTCATGCTTTTAAAAATTGTTTCATATTAAATCACCAGGAGAGTGTATCTTCTGATACTGCTCCGTTTAATAGGGAATCTATCATTGTTTAGAAGCATCATTGTGCTAAACACATATCCCACTGTAAGAAGTCCCAGCGCAGTCCTCAAATTAGTCACACCGAAAACTACGCTATGTATTGAAATGCAACCAGTTTTTTGCATGTATGGTAGAACACAGAAGCTATTTTGTTTCACAAGTAAAACATGATGATTTTTATGGGGGACGTAAAGAATAATTTAGCCAGTAGGGGAGGAATGTAATTAGTTTGAATACAGAGTATTGGAATTTGGCCAAGACAATAGCCCAGTTATGCGGCGGGGGGGACTCCATTGCAGACTCTACCAAAAATAAAAATTTAAAATGTCTCTTGATAGAAGTTTGTATTGTCATGGTCATTTTTTTTCTCTCAGAGGAGAAAATATCATTTAATAAGATACTAAGGGAATATATCAGAGCAAACATCTGCTGAGCCTTTGCTGTATGCTAAGCACTGTGTTCAACGTTCTCAGTCTTCAGGATACCCCTGTGCCAGTCTGCACAGCAAAGCTCCCTTCACATCTCCAAAATGCTTGCCCCCCTCCTGGTCCTGGGATGTTTCCCCAGTGGCACAGTACCCCCTTCAGAAGAACAGACCTGGAAAGGGGTGTGAGCAAGTTCAGGAATAGTGTTGGGGCTATTTGGGAAGGAAATTCCAGGGTCCCCGGTACCTGTTCTATGGCCTACAAGGCAGGGTGGGTGTGTGAAGCTCCAGGAGAGTTCATCTTTCTGACCCTGCCAAGGCCCAGAGACCAGAACAGGACTCCCTAAAACATGGGGCCCAGGGCAGGCCACCCACACATATACCCAGCCTGGGTCTAAGACTAGTACTGCTAACCTGGATCTAATGCCAATCTGGGTCTTACGCCCTTAACTACTAAGCTAAATGGGTCCATTGAACAAAATAGGTGTTCAAAAATTGGTAGCTGAGTGATTAAATGACAGACATGTACTTGTCCTCTTGAAGTTTAGTAGGAAAAGATTTGTATATTATCTCCAACAAATTCCTGGGCTCAAGGAGCAAGAGAGCTCTGAATGGGCACTATCCATGCTGATGAAGTACTGCTAATGTCAAGTCTCAGATACTGCTTTGGATTCTCAGAACTCTAAGAATTTTCTTCCTTCCCATTTCATCATCCAGAAAAGGAGCATTGGTCTCTTCAAGTAAGCTGATTCTAAAAAATGATGGCAAACTATTTCATTATAAATCTCTTTGCTTGAAAAAACCCAGCTTGGCAAAATCAATCCTGAAGCATTCATTTACAGACTTTGAGTTTTCATACCTCTGACATTTGTTTGGCTCTTCTGTGAGGAGTCCCTTGTGGCTTCATTGTCAATAAAAACACTTACTCCACAGTGCACAGGCTCCAGCATGCTGGATTCTCCACCATAGTTCAGGACTCCGCATTCTATCCACACCAATCCATTTAAAACAAGTCCATAGGCAATACTGGGGTAACAAGACACCCAAGAGAAGAATAAGCCCAGGTTATGTTGTATAGCCTGTTGTTTTCTTTTAGGAGTTGACCGAGAAGAAAACAAAGAAACAATCTAATTTGAAATCAGCACCAAAAATTTTCTTCTAATAGTCTCATCACGGCCTCCTGGAAATAGGTGTTTTTTTTTCATTTGGATTGTGTTTAAGTAAAATAACTTCTAAAGAGTGAGCAAAGTGGAGATTGAGAGTCTTCAGATGGAGTCCCTGGGTAATGCAAATGGTTAACATCTGTGGTTGCTATTTGAAAAGTTGGAGGTTCAAGTCCACCCAGAGGCACCTCAGAAGAAAAGCCTGGCAGTCTACTTCCAAAAAAATCAGTAATTGAAAACCCTACGGAACACAGTTCTACTCTGACACACACTGGGTTGCTGTAAGTCAGAATCAACTCATGGTGACTGGCTACTGGTTTATTACGCTTTATACAGCAAAAGAAAGAAGTTTTTTTTCTTTTTCCTATAAAGTTTTTCTATTAGGGTTATAAAAAAATGACATATGCTTTTTCGGAATGATTTTGAAAACGTGGAAATGTAAAACGGAAGATTAACCATAATCCCACCACCCAAGACGACTATTAGTGTTTTCGTGTTTGATCATTCGTAGCCACTCGATTATAGCTTCCTTTTCCACCTAACATTTAGATAAGCACTCTCCTACATTACTAAAAAACTTCGGAAACATCAATTTTAATAGCTACTTAATATTCCACCATGTAGATTTATTTAGGATTAACAATTTTCTTAACAATTTCCCTATCATTTTCATTTTGTTTGGGGCTTTGTATTTTCAGGTTGTTTGTTTTTTGCTTTTATTTTTTGCTTTGATGAGTAATATTGTATTTATTGTTTCCTGTGTTGCCTTTAATGTTATATATATAGTATACTTAAGTATATATATATATATATATATACATATATACATAATATATACACACTCGTAAAATATATTTCAGTAAGTAGGAAAACTGGATCAAAGGGGCAGATTATTACTAACCAAAACAAACCCGTTGGTGTTGAGTCGATCCCAATTCATAGCAACCTTACAGGACAGAGTAGAACTGCCCCACACGGTTTCTAAAGAGCAGCTGGTTGATTTGAACTGCTGACATTTTGGTTAGCAGCCAAGCTCGTAACCACTGCACCACAAGGGCTCCAGATTATTACTAAGGTTCTGTTATTTCTTTCTAAAACTGTGGAGCCAGTTTAAATATCATATTCTCATTTCACTTCCCCCCCATCAGCATGGAGCTCTATCATTTGTTTGAATCTTTGATAAATGATAATACGTATTCTATCATTATAATCCATATTTATATGAAAAGTAATTTAAATAAATGGAACCATGCCACATTTCCCATTGAAATATATTAAAAGAACATTTTATCTGATGTTGAAAATATTTCCTAACTTTTAATCAATGATAAATGCATGACTCTAACTTTCATTTGTTCTTAAACTAGTTTATTTTACTTACTGCTGTTTTTAAAATGAGAGTTGTCGATGTCATTGGCTTGATCCACAAAAAAGACAAACTTCTAGCTGCATATCCAAAATTTGAATTTAAAATTTAAAATTATTAAATTTTACAGCTGAAAACACTATTTTGATACCTCCAAATTTAGTTCCTTAGCAATCATAGTGGCCTCTAGCACTAGCTGGAATTATTGCCTCTTACCTTAGAGGCTTGTCTCTACTTATCTTTTTATATTTGTGACACTTCATTTTTATTACACTTCCCATTCTCCAAACTATCGCATGCCATATGTTCTTTTTTTAAACTCAACCTAAATTTTTTTAAAGGTCCTATTAGGATCATACATTACCATTCAAGCTGACTATACTTAAAAGCAAACAAACAAAAAGAGAAAACAGGTATGAGGATTGCCACCTTGAAGGGAGACTTACTTGCTAGAAAAGCATCCACACACCAACTTCAGCAGGATGTGGGATTGTTTTTCCATGCATGGTCTCACTTGTGAAAAGTATAAGTGAAACAAGCTGGTTGGTGGTCTGTGCCTGTCCAGTCATTGCTGGGAAACTGTCAGGACTACAGTGCCCCTTTGTGGGCTGACTTGGCAGCAATGCCAGGAGCTGAGTGGACCACAGAGACCAAACTGGTTATGATGACTGCTCAGTCCTCTCAAATGACCAGACGCCCTGCCCGCATCACAGCCCAGCCACCCTGAGATGACAGCACAGATGTAGGGTGCTCTGAGCCTTGGAAAGCCTATGGGGCAGTTCTACTCTGTTCTATAGGGTTGATATGAGTCTGAGTCGACTCAGTGGTGATGGGTTTTGATTTTTAATGATGTGTTAATCTACCCCACTGAAATTGCAAGGTGATTATTGGCTAAATAGCAAAGCAGATGGAGAGTAAAAGAAGAAATAATATCAGAACAAAACAGAAAAAGAAGTTTCCCTATGACAGTGTTCATGGGGAAAAGCCAGAGGTAGGCAGACTGAAAGTCTGATCCAGCCAGTTTATGTCATAATGATTTTTGATTTGTTTATTTTTTTCACATCATGTCTCCCAGGGTCCCAATTTTCACATTTAGATGCAGCTCCTAATGAAAGAGAGAAGGAAACAGAAGATTATGAAGTAGGTAGTCCAAAAAGGTCACTAAGTAAAAAATGAGTTGTTTTCTAACAACCTTCTGCTAACTGAGACTCATGGTTTTATTTAAGAAGCTCACTGCCTTTGAAAATGCGCAGGGTCTTTTCAATAGCAAAAGATCAAATGATGTTAATCAGGCAGTGGGGCCTAATCCGTTAATGCAACTGTCTCTTTACATTATAAACATTCTGGCTACATAAACTGGAATGATTTTTATCTTGACTTGTCTTTTCTTCTTCTTTCTGTCTCTTTTTAAATCTTTGTTGCTGTTAGTTGCCATCAAGTTGGCTCCAACTCATGGCGACCCCATGTACAACAGAATGAAGCATTGCCCAGTCCTGCGCCGTCTTCCCAATAGTTGGTATGCTCAGCTCCATTGTTTCAGCCACTGTGTTTTTGTGTGTGTGTCTGTGGCTTTTTTTAAATTATTATTATACTTTAGAGGAAGGTTTACAGAACAAATAGTTTCTCATTAAACAGTTAGTACACATACTGTTTTATGACATTGGTTAACACCCCCACGACATGTCAACACTCTCCCTTCTTGACCCTGGGTTCCCTATTACCAGCTTTCCTGTCCCCTCCTGCCTTCTAGTCCTTGTCCCTGGGCTGTTGTGCCCCATTAGTCTCATTTTGTTTCATGGGGCTGTCTAATCTTTGGCTGAATGGTGAACCTTGGTAGTGACTTCATTACCGAGCTAAAAAGGTGTCCAGGGGCCATACTCCTAGGGTTTCTCCAGTCTGTCAGGCCAGTAAGTCTGGTCTATTTTTGTGAGTTAGAATTTTGTTCTACATTTTTCTCCAGCTCTGTCCAGGACCCTCTGCGGTGATCCCTGTCAGAGCACTCAGTGGTGGTAGCCAGGCACCATCTAGTTGTGCTGGACTCAGTCTGGTGGAGGCCTTGGTTGCTGTGGTCCATTAGTCCTTTGGACTAATCTTTCCCTTGTATCTTGTTTTCTTCATTCTCCCTGCTTCCGAAGGGGTGAGACCAGTGGAGTATCCTAGATGGCTGCTCACAGGCTTTTAAGACCCCAGAAGCTACTCACCAAGGTAGAATATAGAACATTGTCTTTATAAACTGTGTTACGCCAGATGAGCTAGATGTTCCCTGAGACCATGGTCCCCACAGCCCTCCACCCAGCAATTCGGTCCCTCAGGGAGTTTTCAGCCACTGTGTATTTTGAGTGCTTTCTAACCTACCGGACTCACCGTCATCTTCCAGCACTATATCAGACAATATTCTGTTGTGATTCATAAGGTTTTCATTGGCTAATTTTCTGAAGTAGATCTCCTGGCCTTTCTTCCAAGTCTGTCTTAACATGGAAGCTCTGCTGAAATCTATCCACCACGGGTGACACTGCTGTTATTTGAAATACCAGTGACATAGCTTCCAGCATCATAGCAACATACAAGCCACCATAGTACAACCACCTCCTCTCTAACCATCATCCAGAAACAATCTATTGTTGTGTCTTAGAATGAAGAAATACAAAAGGATGGGGTTAATGCATCCACCTCTCCCTTTTTTCCTCCACGTTTCTCACACTTTTGGTTGATCAACTTAGACTGTGCTCTCATGGAACAACCCATCTCCTCTCATGGAACAACCATCTCCACAGAGCCCTACATGTAGGGCAGGTTTCTCCCTGCTCATCAGCTCTGTTCCTTCTCAGCTATTGGCTCCGCTGTTAGAGTCAGTCTTCACTTTCCGCAACTCTAAGTGCATCTGCAGCTGCTATAAAGAGCTTTTTCTGAACCAGTCTTTTCTTAAGGATACAATACTCATCGTTCGAATTCTGTGGCATGTTTAGCCTGAGAAGAAATAATTGGGATGGGGAAGTAGGATATATGTCAGTTGTCTTCAGATATTTGGTCTCCATCCTGTAGAAGTGGGATTGGACTCCTACAGGTATATACAGTTATCAGAGCAGTGATTCTTCAATGGGGTTGTGGTGGTAATCTGAGTCACTTGGAGAGTTCTTTGGGTTTACAATCCCTTTCTCTGGTATCATCTCAATAGGCCTGCAGTAAAATGTCATTGCTGATGGCAGCACAACATATTTCTTAGGAGTTTTAGGACAGAAAAATTGAGAAATCTATTGAATTGGATGATAAATTCCACAAGATCAGCTAACCTATACATAATTTCCTCATCTTTTATTCCTGAGGCCTAACAAGGCCTGGCATGTGGCAGATGCTCAAAAATGGTTCTTGAACTATTATTTTGTTAATGAATTAAGTTTTATTTTAGTATAAGTAGAATGCAAATTCCATTATAGTATAAGTAGAATGATCTAATAAGAAACACCATTCAAGGTGGGCTGCCGTGAGAAACCTGAGCTCTCTGTCTTTGCGGGAGCTCAAGCACAAGCTGGGGAGACTGGAACATAAGGTGGAAAGTTGACCAGAAATATGTGGCTAACAGAGTGGCAGCCAATTGGGCTCCAGGCCAAGGGAAAATGCCAATACTTTCTATTTCATGACCATGAAAACTTAGTCACTTGAAGGGTGTAAGAAGATGGATACTGTTGTACCATCAGTTTAAATCAGGGGACTTATACCTCACATTCTGGGAGTTCTGTGTTAAGTCTGAATGACAAGTTGAATGTTAAGTATATTAAATACTAAGTTTTAAATTCCTATTTACAATATTTTGGGTTTCGTTACTAAGGATAGTAGTTGTGCCTTTGAAAGTCTCCGAGAACACAGTGTTTTCCTTTAGAGCACTCTGTGAATGCTGACCCGTATTAACACAGAGCTGAAAATTGAATTCCTTTTCACCTATAAACACCAAAGATCTCTAACCTCACCTCTTTGTCACAATAACTTGTAACCTAAATTTTCAAGTAAGTGTTTAAGAGTGGTCCACAAGAGGACCCCTGGTGGTATAGTGGTTAAAAGCTTGGCTGCTAACCAAAAGGTCAGCAGTTCAAATCCACCAGCTGCTCCTTGGAAATCCTATGGGGCACTTTTACTCTGTCCTGTTAGGGTCACTGTGAGTCAGAATCCACTTGATGGCAACAAGTTTTGGTCCACAAGATAATTCCAACATTCAAGAATCATTTAGGGTTTTCATTTCTTCTTCTTTTAAATTCTGGATAAAGTTTATCTATCATCCAAGGGAATGTGGCACCTTGATAATCCCTGTTATGACATCCATGCATCTCACATTAATTTATATGGAATGTCTGTGGCCCATTGAAAGGAAGGTGTAAAACAGTAAGCTTCAGCGCCCAACCAGCGCTCAGGGCCTGCAGTCGGGTTTATTGTGATGATCTGTAGGTCAAGAGTGCCACCTCTCATCAGTAAACCAAGGTGGCCTCTCTGGGGATCAGAGTCAGAGAAACAATCAGCTAAGAGAAGGGTGTGTCTCAGATCGCCAGCATTTTCTCTTCGTCCAGCGTTCAGTTATCTTTTCTACCCCACAATGGGGAAGCCCCTGAGATTGCACATCATGTCTATTTTAACAGCTCTGCTGGGCTCTGAAACTCAAACCTGAGTTTTCTATTTCAATGTATTTTCACAATCTACACATTCACTTTTAAAAGTGGGTAATGAAAAATTCTCAATCTGCTTCTCAGTCTTGACTACCCTGAAACTTTTGGGTCCTCTACTGAATAAAAAAAAGGTTCCAAACCATATTCAAGTTAAGAACTATTTGTTAACCTGCTACAGGCGAGGAGCCTGTCAGGCTCACTGCAGTGAAGTGACTTCATAAACCACCCCTGTTGATGCCCACACCCATTGACTGCTATCCTCCAGCCCTTTCCTTTGGGGCACTCTCTCCCCTACTTCAGCTTCCAGAATCTTAGAGCTTAGAGAGTATCATAAAGAGTGAGATTCTATGAAAACTAATTGTCATATTTTAGGTTGTGACTGAATGGAGTTTTAATCTTTATTTAAAAAAAAAAAAAAAAAACCATTGCAGTCAAGTTGATTATGACTCATAGCGACCCTACAGGATAGAGTAGAACTGCCCCATAGTGTTTCCAAGGAGCGGCTGGTGGATTGGAACTGCCGAGCTCTTTAATCTTTATAACTTTGCTATATTTTCCTTGTGCTAATAAAGTACAAGCCTCTCCATAACGCAAAAAGCACAAATGCTGATTTCTAAACATATACATAAATCACTGCATGACTCTGAAATAATTCATGTAAAATTTCTGAAAATGTATTTTAGATTCTTCTTCCTTTGTAGGCAGCTTTTAGGTGATTTAAAATATAGATCTGTATGTATTATTTGATGTTCGCATGGTTTTTCCTAAATAACATGCTGGACTTTTAATAGAGACTTTCGGAGATAATTGTCTTATTCTGAGTGCCAA